CAGAGACTCGCGTTTGCTTAAAACCCTGGTCTGGTGGATATTAAGGCACTATAAAGGGTTATAAACCAATGAAACCGGCCACCTCACTGAAGCCGTTAATGTCAAGACATTGCTTCAATTCAAAATCCATTAGAAAAACATTATCAGGAACAATGGACCTTTGACAAGCCGCCGGCGTCCTGTCTTCGTTGAGGTCACTAAAAATATGCTGGCCCTCAGATATATTCAGGTAAGTCCAGCAATAACCTATTCACAGGTTATCCAACTACCATTATCGTGACCCAAAGAGACCCCTAACACAAAGGAGTGAAAATTTGAGTTACAGTACTATAATTATATTATTATGACCCCTATATATCGATCCTATGGGTGAGTGGCAGAAATTTTAGTCACACAATAAGTTCAGGTGCTGGACCTCAATGATTTTTAAGCAAAGTAACTTACATTTCGTTCTAAATGTGAACGCACGCATTCTTAACACAAAACTTAATATATATAATTGTAGCACACTGGGACTTAATTCAGAGTTTATCTTTAGATAGAACTCTCTAAGACTGTCTTTTATCCTAATTCAGATGAGGGAATGTCATCGTGGCTCGCGAAGTCACCATTATCTACCAATCTCCTGATTAATTCTTATCTTGTTCATTCAACGAAAATATCGCATTACAAGTTGATATCTTAACGTCTATTGTTATTGTGCGAACAATCAGCTATGGAAGTCAACAACACCTCGGAGTCTATTTTGTTGTTTCCTCGCACTCGTCCGTTTTAGTCCCGTGTAAATCTCTGTGAGGCTGTTGCCTGTGAAGTTAGTTAGTTTAGTTCATTTATTATGCACCCCATACCCATCTTGTGGGTGGTAGTGGAAAGGGTTACAGAGGCACATAATGGGCTTTGGGACTGAACCCTCACAATTCATTTAGCTAAGCAAGTTACAATCTTGATGAGCTAGTTACAAAACTCAGTATAAGTCGTCACATCATCAATGGGTTCGAGATCGACCTCAAGTACAGTTTCCAAATCAAGCAACTGACATATGTGGAGAGCTAGTGTCACAATTGATATGTTTGTCCTCTACACCGCCCCCCTCCCCACCCAGTGGGCAGCGGTGGATAGGTTACAATCACTCTTAGTTACTCTGAGGGCCAGCATATTACTACCTACAGTTAGCAAACTGGGGATATTTAGCTAAAATTTCTGGTAGCCCAAGATCACCATCAGAGTGCCGGCGGGATGATAGGGAAGTAGCCTCGGCTACCATCATCTTTTGTCCGGTCGTGATGGTCGAGTGGTTAAGGGGTCCTGTACACCAGTTGCAGAGTGCTCCTGGCAATATGGGTTCGAGTCACTTCTGGGGTGTGAGTTTTCAGTTGCACATATATATATATATATATATATATATATATATATATATATATATATATATATATATATATATATATATATATATATATATATATATATATATATATATATATATGTGTGTGTGTGTGTGTGTGTGTGTGTGTGTGTGTGTGTGTGTGTGTGTGTGTGTGTGTGTGTGTGTGTGTGTGTGTGTGTGTGTGTGTGTGTGTGTGTGTGTGTGTGTACTCACCTAGTTGTACTCACCTAGTTGTGTTTGCGGGGGTTGAGCTCTGGCTCTTTGGTCCCGCCTCTCAACCGTCAATCAACAGGTGTACAGATTCCTGAGCCTATCGGGCTCTGTCATATCTACACTTGAAACTGTGTATGGAGTGAGCCTCCACCACA